AGTATTACTTGTCGTCGTTGTCGTAGTCGTCGTAGTAGTCAAAGACGTAGTAGGGTCGCATGCGGTTCCACGAACATTTCAGCACACCCTTCACACGTTTCGTGGCCTCATTGGGAGCTCCATCGAAGGCCCCAATGGCAGGGTCGCATGCGGTTCCGCCCATAATTTCGGCACGCCCATCACATGTCTCGTGGTCCTATAGGGAGCTCCACCGTAGGCCCCAATGGCAGGGTTCGCATGCCGTTCCACCCCCATTTCGGCACACCCCTCGCACGCTTCGTGGCCCCGTAGGGAGCTCCACCGAAGACGATACTCACAACTGCGGCACCAACAAGTGCATGTGGTAGGGTCCTTCGCCAGGCTAATTTTTCTCTCCTGGCCGCCAGGGATTGAAGGCAAGAGCGTCCGTGACGAGGCCAGGCAGCGCTGCGGGCATCCACGGGTCACTGTGCGTAGGCTGCCAGCAGGCGTCCTGCCGCCTCCTCGCCCGCCGCCCCGGTCAGCTCGGAGGAGCGGGCGCGCGAGCGCACGTGGCGGGCGAGCTCTGGGCTGCCTGCGCTGCCCAGGCCCGCGCGGGCCAGATCTAGAGCCAGGGCCACGAATCGCGGGGGCTCCAGCGGGCGCCAGAGCCACGCGGCGAGCCGATCGCGCACCTCCGCGTCGCAGACGCCGAAGCGGGCCAGGGCGGCCGCCACCCGCGCGGCCTCGTCGAGCCCGTGGAGCTCCGCCGAGCCGGCCTGCGAGGCGGCGGCCGCTCGGCGACCCGGGCCTCCGGCAGGCGCCACGGCTGCGCCAGGCCTGGCGCCTCGGGGCGGGCACAGCTCGCACCTCTCGATCAACGTCGCGCGGAGGGGGTCGTACACGTCGCCTGGCGCCGCGCCGAGTGCTGCGGCCGCCAAGGCGGCGTGCGACACCTCCCAGCCGTCCATCCACCGCGCCTGGCTCACGGCACGCCCGCAGAGGCGCCGCACCATCTCCTCGGAGGGCTCCGCGCCGACCCGCTCGGCCGCGAGCACGGTCGCTCGCAGCGCCGCTATCAATCCCGGGGTGGAGAGCGCCCGCACGGCGCCGCCGTCCCCCAGGGCCGCCGCCTCCGCGGCGGCCCAGGCGTGCAGCAGCTCGGCCGAGGGGCAGCTGCCAACAGCCAGGCGCGCGAGCAACTGCCTCCACCAGAAGTCGCCAGCGAGCCTGCTGGGCCCCGCCGGCGCGGCCTCCGCGCCGCCCGCCGTCGCCGCTTCGACTGCGGCCCTGTGCAGCTCGGCGCGGAAGAAGTCCTGCGCCGCGGCGCCCAGGGAGGCCTCGGCGCGGTCGAGGGCGGCCCAGACGTCCACCAGCGACTCTGCGGGCAGCGTGCTCGCAGCCCCGCCGCTCTGCAGCACGCCCAGCAGGCTGGCCTGGGCGCCCGGGTGGCGCGCCAGCACGCCGGCGTGGGACAGGGCAAGCAGCAGCGCGCAGGCGTGCTCCGCGCTCAGCTGGTCCGCCAGGCCCTGCGCCTGGAAGGCCAGCGCGCCCCACGCCTGCTCCGCCTCGCGCGGGTCCGCCCCTGCGCTCGTGCGCCTGGCGAGCTCCCCCGCGTAGGCCGCCAGCTCGTGCGCCTCCAGCTCGAACGCGCCGGCGCGGGAGCGCCCCTCCGCCGGCCTCTCCGGGGGCCGCCGCCGCACCTCCGCTGGCGGGCCGCCGCCGCCGGGCGCCGGCCACCAGCCTGGCCCTCGCCGCGCGGAGGGCCACGCCCTGCTTGCCCCGGTCGCGGCCACCGCCCCAGCGGCGGAGCGGATTGCCCAGCGCCGCGGGAGTACCACCACGGCGGCGAGGAGCGCCGTAGGCATGCCACCACCACCACCGTGCAGACGGTGCCCTCGAGCGACCGCGGCTTCAGTCACAGGACTTGAGCCAACATGGCTGCGGACAAGCTGGAAGAGCTCCAGAGCAGCGGCAAGAATAGCAGGAGCAGCGGGAGTAGCGGGAGCAGCAGCGACAACAGCACCGCATTCTCGGTGTTCCGGGCGCTCCCGGCGAATCCGATGCCTGCGAGCGCCACAGCATGCTTGCGGGCACGGAAGCGTGCCTGTCGGGACCACAGCCACAGCCTGCTGGCGAGCACAACGCCACGCCGAGGGAGCCGGCACCACCCACTCGCACGATCGTCACCGTTACGGGGCGGGAGGAAGGGCGACCGGCCCTTACAGACATTGCGGGTTCAACTGATGCCCCCCCAAAAACTGTCCCTTGCACGCCGCTTACCATAGCGTATCCGTTGGATACGCCAAGGGCCGAACTGATCGAAGACGTCGCATCCGTGGCATGGAGGACCCATAACCTCGCCAACTGGGGTCCTGGATGAGGACGCCATGCGCATGGGCATGAAAGGGGAACGCACGTCAGGAGGGCCTGGCTCAGGGGGACAACCGTCGAACTGGAATCGGCGATACATCGCCGAGAGATCAGTGATAGGCCCCCGATGGCGAACCCGCACGCTCCGGGCAGGTTGGGGCTATCAAGTCCCTACCGGCGACGGATGGGCGATCCTCGGGAACCCACAGGGTATCGATACCTCTACGGCCCGATCTACCCCGGGCTTCGCTCTGACCAGAATTTCGAGGCGAGTCCAGCGGTGGTGACAAGCGCTTCTCAGGAGGCCTGCAAGTCAAGGCGAAAACGAGGCAAGGGTGGCGGTATTGGTAACATTGCCCTCCTCCGAGATCTGTGGACGACGCATCCTCCCCCGAACTTTACCCCCTCGTGTCGCCCCTGAAGCCTAGAAACCCGATGTATAGATTCTTCAACACGGCACCCCCAGAGTTAGGCCGGGCCTGTCCCCCTACAGAGGGATTTTCGACGACAAATGACAAATACCCCAAACATATCTCAAAAAGGTTAGAAAATACTAGAACCATCGTCCCCAGGCTATTGTTTGACAATTGTTGGTGTATTTTTATGGTATTTCCCTACCTAGGCTCTGCCTAGAAGGGTTCTTACTCTCTTTGCTTAAAGGGGCCGGGCAGTGCTACACGCCCCGGGCGGTTCCCCCAGTCCCCGCCCCGCGGTTCCCCCAGTCCCCTGGAAGCTTTAGCCTTAGCTTTAGCTTTAGCTTAGCTTTAGCTTTAGCTTGAGCTTTAGCTTTAGCTTAGCTTTAGCTTAGCTTCAGCTTAGCTTTAGCTTAGCTTTAGCCTAGCTTCAGCTTAGCTTTAGCTTAGCTTTAGCTTAGATTCAGCTTAGCTTTAGCTTAACTTCAGCTTAGTGTTAGCTTAGCTTTAGCTTAGTGTTAGCTTAGCTTTAG